TGATCACCAGAAGTCTATTGGATGCAGCCCAGCTGATTGGTGTATTCTGACAACAGAGCGTCTGTCAGACTATAATGCCCCAGTGGCTGCAGGGGGGAGATTCCTTCATCCTGTTTACTTGTGAAGATGGGGGAATTTGCTCTTTTTTTCATTCAGCCATCTATGGCCAGCTTAAGAACTACTGGAAAGGAGTAGTCAGCGGAGTGATCTCTTCGGTGTGCTGCTGCCACTAACTTTACCAGTTGTGGGGTGGGTCCCAGACCAGACCATATTACTCAGATGCAGTGTAGTCTGCAGGGAGGTCTTTAGGAGCGCAAGCCTGGCTGTGATGCTTGGCAGAGGTGTCAGGACCACAGAACTAGTTGTATAGAAATCCTTTGCAGGCAAGAGAGTTCTCCGATATGTATTTGAACTGTTACATTATCTGTATGTAGCTGTTTTTTTTTTTTTTTTTTAGATCACAAAATCCAATAAACAAAATTGCACATTTTGCAGCTTACCGGTCCTTCAGTCTGCAATAAATACCTGCTGATCTTTCCTGAAATACAATGTCCTTCACACAATGTTATCTTCTGTAAACTAATAACCTCCCTAACATCATGTAATGGAGATGAACAAAAGGAGACATGTTTTGAAGTCCAGCCTAGGTGTCACCCATGGTTCCCTTCTCAGGGTCAGGAAGCTTGTTATTCACAGGATCAAGAGGGAAAAGCCAGAAAATGAGAACTAATGCAGCCACCTCATCTGAGGTCTTGTAAGCTGCAATATATTACATTTTTGCCTTTGGATTTAGGTACCTGTAGATATGAGATGAGGATGCTTGATCTGGCTGTTGTTGTGTTTCTCTAAGAGGTTTAGTGGAGCTCATATGTGCAACACTATTTTAAATCTTTTTGCTTCTGACCGTACAGGCAATATAGAGACCTTGTTGCCAGTAAATTAATTTTATTGAAGTTCTCCCCATAAGATATGTGCATTTAATGTATTCATGTTATTTACCTGTAAAAGCCTCCCTTGTGTAGACATACAAAAGCCCTGAGACTGCTGCTGGGTGCCCCTGTCATGGATTTAATGTTAGCAGATTCAGAGCTATCATTTATGTGACACCCTTTCGTCTCTCCGCCAGCAGCTATGTAAAAATGTTACATAAGAAGGGGGGAGGGGGGTGGTGGAGGAGCTGGACCAACACAGAGAGCAATTACACTCCCCCAGAGGAGGAGAGGACTGTGATGTGCAGGAAGAGAGGGGGCTGTGGGAAGGAAATGAGTCTTCCTGGAGGGCAATTTACACAAAAAGAAAAAAACAATATTTCTGGAAAGAAAATAAACCTTTACCAGCAATTGTTTATTAGGTGACAGTTTCCAGGTTTGTGTTAGCAAAAAAGTTAATTAAAAAAAAAGTTAAAAAAATTAAAGTAATGTAATAAAAAAAAAAAAACTTTCTAAAAGCCCAATGTAATGGGTGCACCTATGTATGAAAACTAGGGATGCACCGAAATTTCGACCACCAAAACATATCGGCTGAAAATAGCCCTATCAGCATCGTGACGATAGGAAAAATTTAGCCAATGCAGGAGACTGTGTGTGTGCTGCAGATGTGAGGGGGACAGTGGAGAAAGGCAGGAGAGGAGCAGTGTATACATTGACTGGCTGTCACTATGTCCGTTTACCGGCTTTTTTTTTTTTTTTTTCCCCTCACTGTAGCTCACAGAATCAGCTGTCACTTCCCCCCAGGGGTGGACTGACAACTCATGGGGCCCCCAGGCAATAAGGAATCATGGGGCCCGTGTCCTTGCCCAAACTCAAAAAAGCCTATGAAAAAGGTACCAGGGGAATCTCATGGGGCCCCCTACTGACCCCGGGCCCTCGGGCAGTGCCCAAGTTTCCAAATGGTCAGTCCGCCCCTGCTCCCCCCCCCCCCCCGCTAAAAGAAACCGGTTAATTTTAATTTCTTTCCCGAGATAAAAGAAACAGTTTCCTTTAGCTCCAGGGAAAGTGACAGCTAATTCTGTGAGCTATAGTGAAGAAAAAAAAACAGATAATTGCATTTGAAAATTGACATAGTGACAGCCAATGAGGAAGCCTTTCTGTATACACTGCTACCTCACTGTATACACTGCTCCTCTCCCCACCCCCTCCCCCCTACAAAGAGGACCTGTCGTGCTATCACATAGGGGACTATTGGTCCCCTTTGTGATAGCAATAAAATCATAAGTTAAAAAAAAAAATATATAAAAAAATTTGGAACCTCCCCACTCCCACATACGCAGATATTTCGGTTTTCGACCACATGCATCGGTATTGGTTTCGACAGCAGAATTTTCATTTTGGTGCACCACTAATGAAAACGGGGATTGCGTGACATGTATTGGGTTTTGCTGCGCACATCAGAATGAGACCACTAATGTTGTGTGGCTTAAAATTGCAACTACCACCATTTTATTCTCCAGGGTCTCTGCTTTCAGAAAATATATAATGTTTGGGGATTTTACCTAATCTTCGGGCATAAAATGTGCATTTAAACATTTGTGCAAAAAATGGCTCCTGGACTGAAGTGGTTAAGCACATGCACTTGGAAACTTCACCAGCAGTGAATGTTTGGGGAATTTGTTAATTTTGTCTCTGAAAATATTTTCGGCAGTAGCGCTTCTAGTGATGAAAACTCTGACGAAAATCCATTGTAATTTTTGTAATGGAATGAAAAATGTGAGGCAGGGACGTTTTTGCTTATAAAGAAGTTCTATAACGGCTAAATCGGTGTTTATGTAGGTTGTTCAAACCTTAATACCATATATAATAAGAATGTTGTTAGATCTTTTTTTTTTTTTTTTCCTCCAGGAGTATATAATGAGTTTGGAAAGTCTTGAGAAATGAAATGCTTAACCTCTTGTCGTCCGCCCACTGTATATAAATGGCAGGACGGTGGCACTCCAGGGGTGGGTTGCCGTTCATAAATGGCACCCGCCATTATGGACTGTGCACGCTACCTGGGAGCACGCAGCACCGCGATCCCGTGCCCGCTGTGTCCTCCGCACACAGTGGAACACCGATCATCGTACGGGACCCCTGTGCGAGGTCCCGATCATGTGACCACTGATTGGCCAATCAGTGATCACATGCAGAGTAGTAAGCAAGATGTCACTTCTGACATCATTGCTTACTACGTGTGAAATCTGTGAATGATCAGAGATCACATGGTACAAAATTCACAACAGCCTTGTACCATGTGACAAGCTGTGACCAATCACAGCTCACTCAGTAGATCTCAGTGGCTGCAAGAATGCAGCCAGCGAGAAGGAGCAATAATTGCTTTTACAGCCTTTATGGGTATAAAAGCAATCAGTGTAACAAAAAAAATCTTCATCACCCCCCCCACAAGTAGTACAGTGTCACTGGTGACACTGTACTGCTAGGGTGACAGTATGTAGAAAAAAAACATAAATAATAATATATAAAAATGTAATTTTTTAAAAATTATTTTTGGTTATAAAACTAATTTGGGTTGTTTTTCTTTTTTACTAAAAAGATAACTGAATACATATTGGCCAAGATTTATGATGAAATATTTATTTGCAAAATTTTATAAGAAAAACACTTTTATTAAAAAATTTTGGACATTTATATAGCAAGAAAAAATAAAAATCCCAGTGGTGAATAAATACCACCAAAACAGAGCTTAATCTGTCTAAAAAAAAATGCAAAAAAATTCATATGGGTACAGTGTTGCATGACCGCGCAATTGTCATTCAAAGTGTGATAGCGCTGAAAGCTGAAAATTGGCCTGGACAGGAAGGGGGTAAAAGTGTCCGGACTGGAAGAGGTTAAATAATGCATTACAATTTAACTAAATCCATTAAATTTTGGTTGACTAAAATGATTTTACTCGACTAAAATGTACTGGAGATTTTACTCGACTAAAATGGCATTTTAGTCAAGACTATGACTAAAACTAAACAGAAATTTGATGTCAAAATTAACCCTGTTTAGTGTGTCAAATTTACCGCTTTATAATGATGCCCCAAAATTTCTTGTTGCGCTTATTTCACAAAGTTAGGTGTTGCATAATCCTGTCCTCCTCCCTCCCCTTTTTTTTTTTTTTTTTTACGATTGTGGAAGAATTGTTACAAAAGTCACCTTGAAGAAAAAAAAAAGTAAAGCCTTCTTTCTGTATCTACCAGGATGGAATTGATTTAAATCCCTAGTGAAAAGGCTCGATTTAAATCCGTAATTTTAAAGAGCAACTGTCATCTGTCCCTCAGCGGCTCCTCCTATGACCCGCTGTTGACTCACCGACCGTCCCATTCACTTTATTGGGACGGCTGGTGAGGTGGCAGTGACACTACAAGATGAGGGATGTGGTGGCAGCAGGTGAGTGGATGCCCGCTAACAGGCGCTGCCATGCTGGATCTAAAATGACAGGTGCTCTTTAAATGTAAGGACTCCAACTCATTCTTGCTGGTCGTTAGAATCTTTAATATTTGCAAGCTAAATTAATGTTTCCTTTTTAGAATAATAAGCTGTCAGGTTAGTAAATCGGCGATATCAGAACCGATTTTAGGTTAATAGGTTAATCACACATAGCTGGAGAACGACTCAAATTCTTTTTTCATGTTTTCTCTCATGTTACTGTGATATTGTGTGAATGCATCAATACAGTGCATGTGATCTCAGCTTGCAGAGCTTGGATTCATTGAATGAGTTTACCAAAAATGTAAATATTGCAGAATATACAGCCTCATGCTACATAACTAAGCTCCATTTCATGCTGAATAAACTACATTATTAATGTATCTCAAACAGAAAACTATCTTTTAGATAGATTTTTACGCCAAAAGCATTTTATTAAAATACAATTTGGTAAATTTTTAAAAAAATCAGATTTCAATTAAAAAAAAAAAAAAAAAATCGATTTAAAAGAAAAACAAAATCAGTTTTTATCCCCCCTGCTATCTACTAAGATCTAACCTCCATTTGCAACACTAAAGTATGCACTGAGTATGTATGAGTACAGCCCCGTGTAGACCGGCATACCACAGCCATATCGGTGTTTTATTTCTTGTCTCTTTATGTTCTACAGAGTTCTATGGGAAGGGAGCTCCATACAATGCACTGGCAGGAAAAGACTCCACTCGGGGTGTTGCCAAAATGTCTCTGGATCCAGAAGACCTCACCTATGATACGGTAAGTAATGTCATGCTGCAGGGATCTCTTGATCTGTGGTTTTGTATCCGAATACAATCCTAGATTGGACTCCGCATATTTCAGAGTTGATGGGTATTGAGTAGCAAATGCAATGTACTTCATACATCAGTTTCAAACGCCTGTGAGATCAGACTGCAGATTGCAGGCACATCTAATCTGTAGTTAAACTTTTCTGACCCCATATGACCTGCTACAGCTAGTATGTCCAAAATCTGAAGGACTTGAAAGAAGCTCACGGCTGCATTAGTGTTCCCTTTTCAGCCCTCTGGGTACTAATGTAGTAGGTTAGGTGAGGGGGGGGCGGAGGAGTTGGGCCAGCACAGAAAGTAATTGGAAACTCCCAGAAGGAAGAAGGCTATGGCATGCAAGGAGGGAGGAGCTGTGCTATGGAACTGACTTTTTCTGAAGAAGTCAAATTTGCCAGCAAATTCAAAGAAACATTGCAATTGCAAAAAAAAAAAAAAACCAAGAAAATATGGAAAGGAAAACATGGCACCTAACTATTTTAAATACTTTTATTTTTCTGTTCTTTTACCTGCAGTTTTTTCAGTTGGTGACAGGGTCTCTTTAATAACCTTCTTTTCCCTAGACTGGCCTTACTGAGGAGCAGCTGAAGTCTTTGGATGGTATTTTTGAGAACGTGTACAAGAAGAAGTACCCCATTGTTGGCTACACTGCCAGACGGATCCTGAACGATGACGGGAGCCCCAACCCAAACTTCAAGCCTGAGGATCAGCCACATTTTATGATCAAAGATGAATTTTGATGGAACACTAACACTGGGCAATCAGATGTTTTTTCTAAGGTTACTTTTATTATAGGGAAGTTTTGTTTCTCTTTCTGTGAAGGATTTTACAGCAAACAATCTTTTCTAACCTTAAACTGAGATGCGTTTCTTAAAGAGTGACTCCACTTTTGTTGAGGAAAAAAAACATTCCCCCTCTGGGTGATTTAAGGATTTTAACAGACTTGTAGATTCCTACCTCTTATTATTCTGAAGAAATAGCTGTTTGTCTATGTCCATGTACAAAGCGAATGTGAATGGGAGTGATTTTATAATGATCAATCAGCTGCTGCACTTGTAAGGTTCTAATGAGGAAAGTGGCAGGGCCTGCATCCCTTTAGACGTGATTTCCCTTTGGGATTATCTCACAAAAAATAAAATTTTTGTTGCAAGCAATGCCCAAAATCTGCCTAGTGTTTTAGTGCAGACTTCTGGGACAAGCAGTAAGCCAATCACTAAGCAGGATATGACATTTCTGGAGAGCGTTCTGTACACCATCTGTGTACAGAGTGCCTCCAGGTTACCATATTGCACAAAAAGTGACCGTGCTGCACAATAAAAAGGAAAGGTAATTTTTAATATCATCCAAATAAAAAATGACGTATGTAGCAATTGTAGTTGTGCTATATTATAAATATACATTTTTATTTTTTAATTATTTGCTATTTTTTTCCCCATGAAAGTGGAGTTACTTTAACTTTTTAACTTCCAGGTGCCTTTGTCTGCTAATACCATAGAGAGATGTTGGTATCTTATCTGCCAGACCAAAACATAGGAACTATTATGTTACACTTCATAATGGATTATTTCAATAGCAGTAGCCATGAAATCCTCTTTTCTACAGACCACATGCTGTCAATAGACATACACTCAAAAATAAGAGGGGCTGCAGTATTTTTCAGTAGCATTTAGCTGTGCATGCACCCTGTCATCCAGATGTGAGCGAGCCTAGGGAGCGAGAACCTCTAAAGCAGGGGTGTCAAACTGGCGGCTCTCCAGCTGTTGCCAAACTAAGTCCCATCATGCTTCTGCCTTTGGGAGTCATGCTTGTAATTGTCAATCTTGCAATGCCTCATGGGACTTGTAGTTTGGCAATAGCTGGAGGGCCACCAGTTTGACACCCGTGCTCTAAAGGAATGTCGGAGACGTTTTCCGTCATACAACTCTGTATAGGAAGTTCTGTTCCTGCAGACAATGTCACCGGGAAATAGGACGCTTTAACTGAGAGGCTCCTTGGTGATCCCCTTTCTCGCTGGGAAAAGGTGAAGATAACATTTTAAATGTGAATATTTAACTTAAATGTGCCTTAAACCCTCTTATGAAGGAACCAAAATAACCTTTGTGTGAAGAATATGATTAGGTGTAAAGTGCTTCCCCGGGTTCACACTATACAGTGCGGGACACCGTATGTACTTCACACAGGAATTGCACCACAATCCTGTGCGAATTACATGCAAATGTCTGTGCGATGCGATTTGAACCATACACTTTATATGTCTCAAATTGCATTGCATTGCATTGCATTGCATCCGCACCAAAAAGGTGCAGAACCCGGCCTCCCCCAACTTTTTTTTTTTTTCCTTTTCACTCCCCATGCGATGCGATTTCTGGCAATTTTGAGAGTGTCATTTAATTTAACATTGACACCCGCACCAGATTGCATGAGCGTCATGCGATTGCAGTGCGGTTCTGGAAACACACAGTATCTGCATCGCGTCAGTGTGAACTGGTCTAAATCCTCACCTAAATTTCTGGCAGTCACATCGCATTTTGCAATCTGTTTGGGGGCGTCAGTAATTTATCATTGACACCTGCACGAGTGGGATGCGATTGCAATGCAGTGTGGGAAACGCACAGGATTTGCAGCATTTCCTGCACTACATTGGTGTGAACCTAGGGTAAAACTCGGAAGCTGATTTGATTACCATGCACAGCTGCACCAAATTCTATATATACTTTTTTTTTTTTTTTTTTTTTAAGATTTGTTAACATTTTGTTTTTGTGAAATTTTGACAAACTACAAACAAATCAAATAACATTGGTCATACAGTGGCAAATCGGCAACCAGTAAATAGTACATACTTCCTAGGGCATAGGCATTTGGGTAGTTCCGTTATAGTTCCAGGAACAATCAACACTATTCCTGCCATTGCTTGTCACTTGGTATAGATTCTGTATAATACTTTACTAAGTCACCAGTATATATTTTAGTAAATCTCCCACTAAGCCCTGGTTTACACTGAATGCAACTTTGAAATCGCTCTACTTCACTTGAAGTAGCACTATTTCAAACCCGCAGATCAGTGCGATTTGTACCTCCTGATTTCACCGCGGCTTGTAACTTCATTTAACAGAAGTCGTTGCAAGTAGCAATGAAATCAGAAACAAAAGTAGTGCATGAACAATTTTTGAAATTGCACTTCTTCTAAACGTACTGATTAGGACAGTGTCATAGAAATACATTAGATGCAACTTCAGGTGTGATTTGTAACTCACATGTCGCACCTGAAGTCGCATCGGTGTGAACCAGGGCTAATTGTCATCTCCACCCAAAACTGATTTCATGATGGAGTAGCAAATAGCTTCTTAGATTTTCTTGAAGCGGAACTACACTTCATCTGAGTACCACAATCCAAAAACACTATTTGATTTATTTGTAATATTCAAAGCAAACTCGCCATCCAGCCAACTCTCCATGCTTTATTCTTGAGAAATGACTTTGAAAAACACCCCCTAGCATTTCTAACTGTGGACATCTTGAGTAAGGGCAGATGATTCATGTAGCATTTACTTCCTGAGATCCATCTGCCCTTAGTTCAGGCATGAAGACAGGAGGGTGTGCTTAGCTGAGAAAACTCCTCCTCATCCCCTGAAGACTCCTGGGATGTATGACATCATTTGCGTAGGCCTGGAAAGTAAAAGGTAACTGAAGAAATGTGGGAAAAAAAACTTTTAAAACAAGTAAATATATTATACCTTCATTACTATTTATTAATGTTCGCATAAGGATTAAAAATAGTCAATGTTGATTGAGAGGGAGAAGTTCCGCTTTAAGGTCTATTAAGGGCCCCCTTCTCCCATAATAGATTGCAGAATTAAAGTGGTATATAAATATCCCTTGGGGTTAAAAAAAAAGTTGGACTTTGCCCCCAATTTCCATTTGCAGTAATGGATGGGGGGATGTCATGATCCTTCCAGCAAAGTCCTGGGAAATTCTGAGTATCCCATATCTCAGAAGAAGATGCTCCCCACCATGGTATTTTTTAAGTTTTAAAAAACACTACTAGGAAAAGTTAAAATTGTGGAGTTTTTTTTTTTTTTTTTGTTTCTGTGCCCCCCCCCCCCCCCCCCCCCCCCCCCCCCCCCCCCCCCCCCAAAAAAAAAAACCTAGAGATTTTTTCCTTCATTTTCTGCCCTGGTGACCTTAGGAAAATAAATAGGAGGGCAGTTGTCATTCGGACAGGATAGCACAGATCCTTTCTCACTCTACTAAATTGTTTTCTTTGTCTATTTTTTTTTTTTTTGGATGTCACCATTGGAGAGCATAAAAGAAAATCTCCAAGAGATTCTAAGCCTTCCCCACTCAAAAACAAAACCAAATGAGGCTTTGGGTAGAACTGCACTTTAGGAAACAAGATTTCCCCACAATGCCAGAATGGAAGTCTTTCTCACAAGCTGCATTTTCCAATTGTTCTGCACTATAAGGGATCCACCAGGGGATGTAACACCATTATTTGGCTTTGCACTGACCACATCTGCTGTCTGGAGATGGAGATTCCACAGATATATTGACACTGGTGCCTCCTAGAGATGAAAGCAGTCATTCCATGGTTCAGCCTACCAGCAAACAATATTATAAATAAAATATTCGTATCCGTTTTGGGAAGAGTTGTCCTTTTAAATATCTATAGTCTATTTTGTGAAAATAGTACTGTTACTTGTGCTGCCAGAGAACATATACCTCAATAGTTGTAAACATTTTCTATGTATGGTGTTGGTAATAAATACTTTTACAATTTTTAATACTATTGCCATTGTATGGTTTTAACAGTAATTAATTAAATAAGTTAATTGTTACAATGACTGTGATGAAATCTCTGATTTAGTTAGAAACCTCTAAGAGGAAAGAGGCGTTTACCCCATCTTATTTTACATTAAAGTGGTTGTAAACCCTTCCATATACCCAGTGAAGTGACTGGCCTCAGATGATACAGATGAAACAAGTCATCCTACGTAAGTTGTACCTGTTTATCTGCAGTCTTCTTTTTTCTACATCCATACAAAGTGCTGAATTTATAACGCTTCTCTGAGATGTCAGAAAAAAGGGTGCAGAGAGCTGAAATTACACTGCAGAGCTCAGTTAGGAGAGCTCTGATAGCTAATTGGAAGGAAGGAACATACCCCCTTCACACACAGGAACAGACCTGAGGCTGTCATTTGTCTGGAGGCCCCTCTCCTTTCACCATTTTTTATTTCTTGGTGTCAGGAAAACTTGTCAGAAATGATTCATGCAGATAGAGGAATGAGGCAGCAGACAGAAATTACACTTAGTTCTATGGATAGAGATGAGTACACATTATGGATAGAGATGAGTACACATTATAGAGGGAAATGCTTTGTTCATATTTCATGTCTGAGGTTTACTACAACCACTTTAAGGCTAAAAAAAATGATGGCTGAATTTCAGCTGAGAAAAAGAAAATGAACACCCCAGTAATAATAAATTAGAGCACCTTTTGCTGCAATTCTCAACTTTTATTTGGAGCTGTTCCCTGCAGTACTTCTTTTCCACAGGTAGATGTCCTCAGTCTTCTGAGTAGAATGATGACCTGTTCCATTCAACTGATGTCCGCTGAGCCCAGGTGGTCATGGATGAGCCACCTAGGGTGGCATGATTAGGCAGCTTAGGCTCAGCATATCACAAGGTATTACATTAGTAGCATTCAGTGCAGTGATAAGGACCATCCCCCCAGAAGAGAAGA